ACAGCAGGGTTTCTGTACTGTGGTTTCTGTACCTACATTCCACTAAGGCTCGTGTTCTATTATTCTCACTGTTGCCTGCAGCGCCTTCCACCCACCCCCCTTCAGTCACCAACTCCAATACCCAACGTCACTAACCCTGCATGCCCTCTGTGCTGCCTATGCAGTAAACCACCTCACCTGCACCAACAGTATCAGCTGTGCCACCCACTTCCATCTCCTTTAACACATGCCTGTCTCACATTCCATAGGAAGACAGCTTACAATGGGGTAGAAAGAGTCACTGTTTGCCTCCTCACCCTTTTTATGAGTAGACTATCCTGATGACTTGCCCCTATCTGCTGGGAATCTTGCCTCAACACCTGGCAGCTACAATAAAAAGTGGAGGGAGTTGCTCCTGATACTATGTCAGGCCACCTGACTTCTTGCAAGATTCTGCTACAAATCTCACCATTGCCCACCTCATTCAGGCCCCTATAAGATTCTGCCCATAGTGACAACACACCTAAAAGACACAACATTGAAGAGGGAATTGACCGAGACTAACATGCTTGGCTCAAATAGATTGCCAACTGGATCCAAAGCTCCTGAACAACTACCTTGCCAACGGTGTTGACATGAAAAGCTTTGAAGGATTCTCTGAAGAAATACCTGGAAGAGAAAGAGAGAGAGTTGTAGATTGTTTAGATCTTAGGCACTGAATCCTCACAATGCCAGGTTTGTACTTTAAGCCACATTTAGAGACTGGTGCATGGTTGAACATTGAGATCCAGAATGAGATAATGCCATTTGTGCCTTCTCATCTCAGAAAGACGCAGACCAGAAGAAACAATCCAATTAATCCCAATGTCTTTCCTAAAAAAACACTTGCAATTATTCTCTCCCTGCACATATTTATCTAATACCCTTTCAAAAGCTGCTTTGTACGATCGTTACCATTTTATATTTGTAATATACAGATTGCATTTAATAGCTTAAGTTTACTAATCAACTTGGATTGCCCATTTAATATGAACTCATTATTGAAATACTTTTTGAAAACCTTTTTATGTTGATCAAATGTGAAATTGGAACAAATAAATAGGATGTTAGTAATTGGCTGGAGTCATTCTGGCCTGAAATTCCTAAGAGAAAGATGCAGAAACATTGTACAGAATGGCAATGACAAGAATGTACGAAGACTACAATGAATGATACTACAGAAAATTGTCCGCGATCTGACGAGAGACAGACCTGCCACTACAAAGGCTTCAAATGCAGATGATGAACAGAAGATCTTGAACTTCTGGTAGTCAACCAACTTGATTTAACCTTTCATCAATAGCTGGAAGGAGAATTGCAATGAATGCTCAGTAACTTGATTCTCACATTGACTGTAGCCAATTTATTGTTTGTGGCAGTTTTTTCAGCCCTTTTTTTGGCCTCTTATAATTGGGAGGACTTTTTAAAAATTCATTCACAGACATGAGCTTCACTTGCTGATCCCTAATAGCCCTTGAGAAGGTGGTGGTGAGGTGCTTTGCTGAACTATTGCTGTCCATTTGGTATAGAACACTGTGTGTGTCTATTGGAGAGAGAATTCTAAGATTGATCAAACAGCACTGAGGAATGGTGATATATTTCCAGGTCAGGATGATGAGTATTTAGAGGAAAGAGACACCAAGGCACAGAGCTGGATTAACACGGCAGGCCAAGCAGCGTCACAGGAGCAGAAAGGCTGACGTTTCGGGCCTAGACCCTTCATTTTCTGATGAAGGGT